CAAGAGAGCAAAAAGTATAGGGAAAACACCGTTGTAACAAACTGTCCAGTTGTGCCTTTCAAAGTCACCCTTACTATGTACAAGGAGCTTAATCTAAAAGGAAAATAAATGAAAAACCCAACATTTTTTACTCTGTGGAAGGAAAAAGAATGTTTCTTTTGGAAAATGCTTATGTTCCGAAGAAGGGAAACTGCAGAGAAATGCATGGGAGCAAGAAGCACCGCACCAGGTAGGAGCAATACAGCCCCATTTATGACCAGGTGCTTTTCGCTCACAGAGCGCTTCCGTGTTAACACCCACACCGGATCCTCCCTGCTGGCGAGGGCGACAGCACAGGGATTACGCTCATGCTCACTGCAGTTAGGGGAAGATGGAAGCCCATGGGGCAGGGGGTGAAGGTGGAACTTCAGGTAAGGTCATGGACTCCACATCACATCTGTACTGTCCATTATTAACTTTTTAGAGAGAGAGGAAGGAGGGACAGAGAGAGAGAGAAACATCGATGAGAGAGAAGCATCATTGATCAGCTGCCTCCTGCGTGTGCCCCACAGGGGATCGAGTGCCCTGATCGGGAATGGAGCAGGAGGTCTTTTGGTTCCAGGGTTCATGCTCAGCCACTGAACTACACCAGCTGGGGTGTGTGTGTGTGTGTGTGTGTGTGTGTGTGTGTGTGTGTGTGTTTTAAACACTTTCATAATTTCTGTCACCATAAGATACTCCAGGCTTATCTTGTGTATTTCCTGTCCCTGTCCTAGTATCAACCATTCCTAAGAGGAGACCTGGGTCATTTTACTGGGGATTAGAGAGCAAGATTTGGGCGCTGGGTGTGCTTGTTGCTACTGGGGTATTATTGCTTCTAGGCTTTCTCACCCATCAAAAACCAAGGGAATCGTTGTGTATATACTCAAAAATAAGAGATAAAAATAAATACAAAATATTTCTATATGCAACCAGCTCTACCTATAGAAGCTAACGCCAAGTTCACACTGTCTCCAACTCTAATTCATCAGCATAGGGATCATTCTAGCCTCCACATGCTTGTCTCCAGCCTCTCATTTCAACAGTGAGAAACTTGGCTCCCAGCAACCACCATCACTTTCCTCAAATGTTCAGTTCCAGTGTACGTGCGTAATGGTTTCTGAATTGTTAACCCGTGGGAAAACACTATCAGCTAGAATATGGTGCTTATGCACAATTCCTTTTTTTACAGATTCCACTCATTCCCAGTCACTCAGATCAAAACCTTTCCCTCCATCTTTCTTAGTGACATCATTCAACACACTTGCAATAGCGTTAGCTTATTTTATTACTGACTCTTTTCCGTCCTGGGATTCCAGGATATTCAGATTGGTTTTTAAATTTGCATATGTTGAAATTTAACCTTCGTGCTGTACAAGTAGGTGTTGACAAACATATAGTGTCATAGATCTTTGGACTAGTTTCACTGCTCCACCTCTTCCACCCTCCCTGACCTTGAAGTTATGGCAACCATGAATCTGCTTATAGTCTTTATAGTTTAACCTTTATTAGAATGTGATATAAGTGGAATCATACAGTGTGGAGCCTTCTCTGGCTTCTCTCACCTAGCAATATGCCTTTAAGATTCATCCAGCTCTTCTCATGGCCTGGTAGCTATTTTTTCTCTCTCTGCTGAATGAATATTCCAATGATATGAGAATGCCATTTCTTATGTAACCATTCAGCTACCGAAGGACATTTTGGTTGCTTTTAATTTTTGGTGATTATTAATGAGGCTGCTATGAACATTTGTGTGTAGGTTTTGGTGTGGGCACTTTAAAAACTCAGTTGGGCTGAAACCGTTTTGGCTTAGTGGCTAGAGCATTGGCCTGTGGACTGGAAGGTCCCAGGTTCATTTCCGGTCAAGGGCATGTACTTTGGTTGTGGGCTCATCCCCAGTAGGGGGTGTGTAGAAGGCAGCTGATGGATGTTTCTCTTTCATTGATGTTTCAAGCTTTCTATCCCTCTCCCTTCGTCTCTGTAAAAAATCAATAAAATATATTTAAAAACTCAGTTGGATAAATATCTAGGGGCAGAGTACAAGTGGCAAGCTGCTCAGTAAGACTGGGTAGCTGTGCAAGAAACTACCAAACTGTCTCCCAAAGTGCCGGGGTCATTTTGCAGTTCCATTTTGCAGGGAGTTTGCAATAAACTCCCCGTTGTTTTGCATCCTTGTCAACATTTTACTATTGGTAGTTTAAAAATTTTTAAGCATACCAATAGGTATGTAGTGGTATCTCAGTTTTAATTTGCATTTCCCTACTAACAAATGATGTGGAGCATCTTTTCATGTGATGATTTGTTACCCATACTTCTTTGTGGCAGTGTCCGTTCCCAGATTTTGCCTATTTTTAATTGATGGCTTGCTTTCTTATTGTCGAGCATGAACCGTTTTTTGTATATTTTAGATCTAAGTCCTTTATCAAATATATGCCTGTGGCTTTTCATTTCTTAACAGTGCAAAGCAGTCAATTATTAAGTCCAACTTACAAAATTTTTTTCATGGATGTTTTTAGTGTTATATCTAAAAAAAAAATCATCACCAAATCAAAGGCCACACATGTTGCTCTTATGTTTTCTTCTAGAAGTTTTCTTCTCTTATGTTTTCTTTCTAAAGCTTGCATTTTACAGGTAGGTTGTTGTTGTTCTTAAATCATATTTGAGTTAATTTTTGTGAAAGGTGAGCCAATGTTTTTTTTTTCTTGGAAGGTTCTCCTTGAAAGACTACTACTGCATACTCCAGGGGGGCATAGTGCCTGGAGCTTTCGCACAAAAAAAACATTAACAGCCAACAACACTTCATAGCTTTTGAAGTTAGTATTCAGAGGCAACAATAATGAGGTGTCATGTCCAGATTCAGGGGAGAAACTCTTTCCTTAGTAATCCACCATTGCAAGGCCACATGTAGAGTTCAGTAAGCTCTGCTAGGAGTAGGGAGGTTGGCCAGTTGGATTTAATAGTAACATTGGTAAACTGGGATTCATTTAGAGAGTGCCTCCCATGATGAGTACAACTGCTATCGCTGCATTCATGTTCTATTTGTCTATCCCTTTCATCACTAACACTGAACAGCTTATGGGCATTATGTATGTCCAGTGCCCAGCACTTAGCACATGCTCAATAAACATTTAATCAGTGAGTTCAGTGAAGAAGTTGAGGATGTTTAGTATAGAAAACAAGAATTCCTCAGGTAATATATCCCTTTGAGTATCCCTTGGGGAGAGGCATGATAATTATCATCCAATATTTGAAGTATTGTCATACAAAAGAGGGATGAGAAGCAAGATTGAAGTCAGAGAATTACAGAACTTCAGCTCATTATATATAAGAGGAGGCTGCCATATGCTGAGTCTGCAATCACTTAGAACATTGAAAAGCCTCAATGAATGTTTGTGAGGGGTATCGGGGGAAGCAGTTTCTGCATTGAGAAGGGGAGTGAATGAACCAGTTTGTGTATCTTTCAACTCTGAAGTTCTGTGGGTCTAACAGATCTAGTAGAGGGTCAAATTAAGAACTTCAAGAGCCCGAAGAACAGGAATACTCATGGTGTTCCATTCGATTAATAATTCAAAATACAAACAAAACAATATTATAAAATGTGTTAGGAATTCCAGTGAAGTTCATGTGTTCCAGTGATTGCCTGTCTCTTTCTTTTTAAGATAAATATCAACTGTTTCCTTAATTCTTTCTCTCTTTCTCTTTTGTGATGCTGCTTTGCAGGACCCTACACAACTGATTATTTCTGCTTACTTGTCCAATAGTGATTTCTGATTCTTGGTACAAGACAAGGGGTACACCAAGACTTCTTTGGGGATCATTCATAACCTAGAAATCCCTGTTCCAAAGAAACCCCATGCAAAGCAATAAAGTTGATGGTCTATTCATTTAAACTGTCCACTAGAGGCCCAGTGCACAAAATTAATGCAAGAGCTGGCCTTTCTTCTTTCGGCTGCTGGCACGTGCTTCCCTCTGGCACCCAGAACCCGGGCTTCCCTCACAGCCCAGGCTTTATCTGGAAGGTAGTTCCAAAGGACATCTGGTCTAATTTGCATATTATGCTTTTATTCTTATAGATAGCAGCAATGATAAATCTGGGGACCATCTAGTTCCCAGTATAAAATGTTATGCATTTACAAGGCTTGCCAGTACTCAAACCACATTGTCATTCATAATGACAATCCAGATGCTGCCCAAGCAGTCTTACCCAACGACGAGATCACTTACGTTCCATCTAGTTTTAACTTTAAGTTTTTTTCCACTTGTGCTCTGATTCTTTGAAACTTGGTACATATGCCAAGATATATGATCACAAAAAAATTTTTATGCCTTGATCATATGTGGTAATAGGATTTACGGCAAACATTAATTTTGTTATGATTAATAACTTAACAATGCTGCACTAACTTGTTGACTGCATTTATCATGTGAATTCTTGTATGTTAGTTTCACAACCTCCTCTCTTGGGATCTTAAGCTTTTAACAAATGTAGAGGTTACAATTAGTTCTCAAGAATTCTGTGAAAAACTAAATATTAAAATGAATGGAAATTGACATATAACACTTTTGGGTTTAGAAAATTAGTCCTCTGATGTATAACTGCTTCATTTTTATTGTTGCTTTAACCCTCTAAGACCCTTTTTATTCATGGCTATCATGAAAAGGGGTGAGAGAGTACGAATTTTTTTCTATAAATACTGTGAGGCATTTTCTATCCCAGCACAGGCTGCTGTTACTGCCCTCTGCAGCTGGGCTGACACACTCTCATGATGAACTGACCTCCACAAGAGTTCCCAGTTACAGCAGAAAAAGTACAGAGAAGCCCTGCCAAGCCTTGTTACGAGGGCAAGCCCTTAAGAAAAATAAACTGCTCCCCGGGGGAATGGCACTGGTTCAAAGATTTGACATAAGCCCACAGCGAACCGTGATTATTTAAAAAATAATAATTACATGTAGTTTTAAAAAGCAAATAAAAAAATACTTACTGGAACATCAACATATTTTGCAGCTGCTTTCACCTTAAGTGGAAAAGAGATAATGATGAGAATTGTTTTTTTAGTTGTGAGTAAGTACGATGGTGAGTCGAACGATAGCAGAAAAGAACGCATGCCAATACTTACAGTGAACGACAGGATGGATGAAAAGAAAGTGCCTTCGTCATATCTTGACAGCTTAGACAACACCCCTTCCAACACTGAAATAAACTACAGACAGTTTCTGATGAGTGTTTAGAAAATTTCTGTGCATACAGTCTAGTAACAGAGTAAATAATTCCTGAGCCAAAGTCTGCCACAGCACAGAAATCCATGATGCATAAACTGACAGCTGAGGGGCTGACTTGCAATGTTTGCTCTTTCATTTTGAAGATGAACCCTAAGGTCCTTTTTAATTGCTGGAAATCACACAGATGTTTATAAAGATAGAAGAATAATACGTAATAGGAGTTTGGTCACTATATGTGAGCTAACTTAAACTATTAGTAAATAACTTTAAATTTAAAATAACTTTCAACTTCACTATAGATGTTTAGAAGTCCCCATCACAATAAAAATTATAACCCTGTGTGAGAATGGATGTTAACTAGACTGTGGGCATTTCACAATACCTACAATATCAAATCATTAGGTTGTACACCTAGAACTGATATAAATCAATTATACTTCAATAAAAAAAACATGTAGAAGTTATCAGTAATGATAGTCAAGCAAAATCAAATTCCTTCTACCATATATTACTTGGCCATTCTGTGTCATTTTCTATGTATAGAAGAGGTTGAATAAAACAAGAACAGATAATGATGTGCAACATTTGGAGCTTTTGTAACACTAAACTGAAGTCTGACATTAGTCAATAAGCATTTAGCAAGCAGTTCTAATTATATATATATATATATATATATATATATATATATATATATATTATATATATGGATGAACCCCACTTTCAAAAGCTTACAAAGAAGTTGGGGAGCTAATACAGATCTACACACTACAGGCTACAATAGAAAGGATTTAGCTGGAGAATATACAGTGAGTCGCCGATTATTATGATCTCTGAAGGCATAATAATCTGCCACTCAGAGTGTGTGTGTGTGTGTGTGTGTGTGTGTGTGTGTGTATGTGTGTGTGTGTATGTATGAGGCCCAGTGCATGAATTCGTGCATGGGTGGGATCTGGCCAGCCTGGCCAAGGGGAGGGGACATGGGTGGTTGGATGGCCTGCCTACTGGTTGAACTGGTCGAGGGGACAATTTGCATATTAGCCTTTTATTATATAGGATACACACTGAGTGGCCAGATTATTATGTGTTCACAGGTCATAATAATCTAGTCACTTAGTGTATATGCTGATTCTGTCATTCACTACTGTGTGAGCTCTGGCCAACCACTTCATCAATGGTTTTCTCCATCAGTTAAATTGTGTGTGCACCTGTATATGAATGTGTGTGGTTTGGGGAGGCATATAAAATTAAAATTAGTTTCAAAAGGGTCTTACATTTCTAAAGTTCTATATTTCTATGACATGAAAGTTAATGACATGAGATGTATACTGTAACAGTTAAAATGTAGAGATGTCTTTCATTGAGTGGAAATATAAAGATGTGGCATGAAGATAAAAGATATAAATAAGGATCTACAACCCTACATCTTTCCTCTTTAGAACTAAAATAATATGTACTATTGACAAATTATACACTCCCAAAGGGAAAATACTGACAAGGTTTTTTAAATATGAGAAGGGAAATGAACAAAGGCTGGCTTTTGTTCACATAGCAGCTTCTTCAACAAAGTGATAATAGTTCGAGGGACAGAGCTTATTGGTCTCTGGTGACTAGCAAGCTCACTGAGAGCGCACAGGAGATAATCTTTTCTCCGTGGTTGGTCAATTACTGCAAAATAGTTTATGCAAAAGAAACAAAAACTTCCCTATAGGTTTCTCCATCACATCATGTGCGACATGATGTAAGAACACAGAAACAAAAATCATGCAAACTGCCACCTGAACTTTATTTTTAAAGAATGAGGATTAGGTAGAGCTGGCTAGCTATCCTAAGGGATACAAACAGCAAAAAACACAAAATTATAAATTGCCCACAACTAAAAGTCAATTGAGCACTTTCCTCCTGCCCATTAGGATTTCTTACCAATCACAGCTGGCTAACTCAACTTGATGTGGTTTGCAAAGACCCAGAAGACCAATACTCCAGGGCTATGTCAGACCAGGGGAAGGGAATTCCAAGCTTAATGGCCCTCTGTGGAAAATGCCTCATCTCTTGTAGCTCAAATCTTAAGAGCCAGTGTGTGCTGGGTGATCTCATTTGCCACAAGGAGAGAGACAATTGCTATGGTTACCAGCCAACCTGAATCGTTGAAGGCTCTGGCACAGCACCTGGTTCTCGGTAATTTCAAGCGAGTCTATGTTTACACATGTGAGCCATGCTGAGGGACAAGGCAAGGCAGAGGCGAGGGCCCTGTGGTTGGATTCCGAGGATCTGAATTCAATCTGAAGCTTTGCTACTCTCCGGCTAGGAGACAGCGGTGTAGACATTTAGCTTCTGTGTATTTGTCAGTAAAGTGGAAAAAAGAAAACAACAAACAACTGTCCTGCCTGTAACTGGAATGCTGTAAAGATCAGTGGAGATACTTTATGTGAAAAGGACTATGAGAATGGCAAAATACTAAAGAAATGCAAAGCATTAATACTCTTGGTACAATCAGCTAAATCTCTATCCATGACATAAGTCTAGAAACCTAAATATGTTAAGTCACAAGTTAATGGAGCAGCTTTAGGATTGTCTAGTGATGGTGAGTAATAAGGAATTTGGTCATCAGTGAATAGTTTCCATACAATTGAATGGTATCTATGAAGGTAGAATGGGGTTGAGGCTGCAAGTTAGAAGATCCGCATTGGAATCCCATCTGTTTCTAGGGCATTTGGCTGATGTTAGAGGAGCAAGGCTCTGAACCCAGGTGGTCTGGCTCCAAAACCCATGACCTTTACCATCATACTGCAGAGTTGTAAGCATTAAGTGAGATGACGTTAGTAATGTGTCCAGCATACAATAGGTACTCAATAAATGTCACTTGGTTGTAATAATTTTTACTGAGCACCTAATATGAGAAATAAAAGAAATGAGTCTTTGCCCTCTCCCTCCAGGAACATACAAACTATGGGAGAGACAGACATATAAACAATTGTTCTCCACGCAAGGCTGAAAGTGTCCTGGGCCAATGTAGGTGGGCAAACTGAAACTAGAGGAAGGAAAGAATGGCTGGCTGGAGGGTCTGGCTAAGCTTCATTTCCCAGGTGACACAGGGGCTGAGCCACAGGTGCCAGAAAACCAGTGGATAAAATGACACCTGGGAAGCCCATTGGCTCATGAACCTAGGCCCTGCTTGGCAGCCTCTCTGGTTCATCTTTCTCTTCAGAGTATGAAGCAGCCTTGGGTTATATCTAAGCCAGTCCTATGCCTGGACCGGTGTCACAGCATTCTTTGCTTCCATTTGAATAATAGGGGAGAGCCTGTTCTTGGGTTTCCCCCCAACCCCAAATGATCTCTAGGGAGGCATGACTCCAAGGACCTACACGGCAGTGAGCAGCAACTGCGCCTCTGGGATCAGTGAGGTGAGCCGTGCCGTTCCTACAGGAAGGTTATTCTTTGTAAAACTGAACTCTATTAGCACCGAGACTGACTATGCCTAATAGCAATATATTTCCCATCTGGCTTTTAATTGCACAAAACAGCAAGATTCCAAAGAAATCCAGTTAAACGCTGGGTTTGGTTGCTGTGTCTTTAACTGCTTCCTGTGAACTTTCTCTGCGCAGCTCAAGGTGTGTGCAAATACTCACGGGCCTGCCTTGTGCCCTCTGCTCTCCGGAGGGTGTCCGGCTGGAATGAAATGCTGTCACCTCCTTCTTTCCCTGCTCTTTATTGCGGGTGCCATTCACTGGGTTTGTTGGAATAATATTTAACACATAAACTCTGTCTGGGTAATTACCAACTTTGCCTCACCGTGCATACTCTCAAGGAAATGAAAGATGAAAATATTTTTAAATGACTGGTAGAATGAAAACATGAAGCATACCACAAGGCATGCTGGCTTAAATTTTTTGTTGAATTTTAATAGGGTATAAGATTAATTTTCCTACATGTATGGAAAGTAAAAGTTAAGTTTAGGAAATGATTGTGAGGAGTCCAGCTACAGTGTAGTGGTTTGAAACACATACACTTCTTGCCTTTTCATCGGCATTTCATGAAGTAAACAAGAGATATCTGTATCATTTATACTACAAGTTATAAAATCTTCACAGAAAAGAGATTCATCCACAAATAAAACTGATCTTTTTTGGGGGGTGCTTTGCTTTGAGTGGGGCTAGAGATATCTATAGGCAGATGCTTCATATTTGTTTGGTAATATCAGGACTAACTAGCAATATTAAAAATCCACATGGAACCAGAATACCATGGACTGGAACAACACAGGTCTCCTTCCCTGAATGGGGTTATTAATGTTATGATAAAATGCACCTGTCTCTTCCTATTTTTTCCCAAATGTAAATCCATTTCCTCTTTGAACCTCTGATCCAATAACTCCTAAGAGGTTTTTCCAGAATATCCACACCTGTATTAAGGATGGGTAGTACCTGACAGCATGGATTTACTCATGACATACCTTGCTCGGCAAGTTTCTTAGACCACTTCCAAAATATCACACCTAGTCCATATGCTGGTGAATTCTCCATACTTTTCTCATCTTTCCCCTTGCCCCCAAATAGAGTGACTTATCTTATACTAATTCCCTCCCCTAATGGGTCCTACTAGTGTGTTATTCCTTCTAAGCTCATACTTGAGTTACATAGTTGTTTTCTGAGCATATGAACTTGATCCAAAAAGTAAATTTAATCTGATTAATCTCACCAGATTTTGCTTGTAACTTTCTTAAAATTTGAACTTTCCTTGCATCTTTTTAAACTACTATTTCTCAATGAGGTATACAGAAGTATAAGACAGATATTTCTAACAATTCTCAGAAACAGAAAATAATTTAGAATTTTGATTTTAGAAGGTGAACAAATAATACATTACCTTTGAAACTAGCAGTGAAATTATTTCTTTTACAGAGTTGTCAATCAAATCATCTATTTTTGAATGGTACTGTTGCTAGATATAAAAAGACAAAGATGCATTAGTTGATGTAGAAATAAAACTTTAAAGCTACTCGTCAAGACATGTATGATTTACTTAAAATGATCAGCTTGAACATTAGAAAAACAAAACTTTGCAAATGATCTAGCTAATCAACACTCTTTGCATTGCTGTTTGAAAAATTTCCCATGTGCTTTGTTGAGTGAAGCAGCTAATGGGGTTATTACATAGATGAATTGAGTTCTTCTTCTTATTCAGATGGAGGAATGTGAAGGATACTTTTTGTCTTCTCCTCTATAATTAAGGTGGCCATGTATTTTTCTAAAGGGATGGTTTAGCTGGAGAAGCGAAAAGACTAGAAAGAGATTTAATTAATACAGCATTTTGTGTCTGTCAACTCTCATTCATAAGTTATTTTAAATGTGCTCTAGAAATAAAACGAGCCCCCAATTGTTCACTCTAAAAGGACGTGTGTGTCGGTGCGGAGGATCGCAGTTTATACAATCCTCACAATGTGCTTAAGCAAGGGCAAAATTAAAATTTCATCAACAAAGGTGAATAGATGGTAACAAATTAATAGGCCATAGAAGATATAATAAAACGGCACTCACTCCCCATCACTTTATTACTGCTTTCTCGGGAAAAAGGCACCTTTAAGTAAATGCAAAAAAAAAAGAAAAAAGAAAAAAAAAAAGGTGTATTTAAAATAAACCTCAAAGACTCTATCTTTTTTTCTTCTTTCTTTAGAAAATACTAGAGAGTTCCGTTCTTAAATAAGCAGTAGCTTCGGCTCTACAGCGGCACATTCACTTAAACAGCAATTCTTCCTTTAGAAGCATTTATCTGACAGCTGATTGTCCCCGGAGCCACTTCACAGAAAATGTGACTTGTAAAGACTAACCCTATCTCGATGGTTCAAGGCTTCTTGGAACAGCTAACATAATGAGGAGCGTGAAAGTACTCAGGTCAGTATAAACATCAGACCAACTTAGCTGCTGGCTGAATGGTTTCCTAAGATGTAAGTTTTTGAAAGCTATTTTTTCTTCCTCTAAAAAACATGTCTCCAAGTTTCCACACAGAACAGAACATCGACCGAGCTCTGCTTTGGAATACACAAAACATGGTTCCTCTCCTTAGGCTCTGACAGTTACAAGTGGTCCTCTACCTGCACCGACAGTGAAGAAAGGAAGCCCGATTTTGGAGCGTATGAATGATTTTCTCTCTCTGCCTGTGTGTATTGACAAGCATCCTAAAATCAACAGGCATATATAAACGGGGCATGTCCTAGGCATGCATTTTGCCCAGTAAAGTGAAGTACGAAGTGTGCCTTTCACTTTAAGCCTTATGCATCCCAAACTTGTACTCCCAGAGGACAAATGGAACAGGAACATAGAGGTGGCTTTCTATTGCATTATGCAGACACGTTTGCTGTTAGAACAACTTGGAGAGAAGCAAAAGGGGAGAGAAAAATAAAGAAAAAATAGAGGAGAAAGAGCCTGAAAAAGCTGGTTGGTTGGTGAAAAGGCCAGAGCGCCCCTCACCTGCCCCAGATGCAGGTATAAAAAAAAAAAAAAAAAAAAAAAAAAAAAAAAAAAAGCAGCCCCCTCCCCCAACTCCAGCTGATTGGGTGGTGAAAGAGTTTATGCAAATGAGCTCTGCCCCAGCTCTCCCTGTCTGCCACTCTCTCTTCACAGCTTCTCCCTCCAAATTTGTGTCTGTGCAGCAGGAGGAAAGGAAATATCTGACTGAGGGTCTCTCTGGGGTAGACGAGAAAGTGGAGACAGCAGAGGCCTTCCATCTTCTCACTCCCTCTTACATGGGAAGAGCTGTAGAACGCACAGTGATGGAGGCACCCAGACCTCCAGACGGTTCCCTATTCTTTTCCCCCCTTTCTTTTCTTTATTTATTAAGGTATTATATATGTGTCCTTATTTCCCCATTCCCACCCCCCACCTCACACCCATTTATGCCCTCACCCCTATGGTGTCTGCGACTATTGGTTATGCTTATATGCATGCATACAAGTCCTTTGGTTGATCTCTCCTCCATATTCTTAAATATGCCCTATCCTCATTGTTTATCGCTATTTGCCATAAACTTCATTTTCCTAACTCAAAAGTAATCAAATGTCATTAGAAGGCTATTGGATATAAAATAGTAGAGTTTCTGCATATTAAACTTTTTAGGTAGGACAAATTCAGGCAATCCTTAAAATCAAGGGATAAGCCACAAAAGAGGTAACTTTTGCCTGGCCGGCATGGCTCAGTAGTTGAGTGATGACATATGACCCAGAAGTCATGATTTGATTCCAGGTCGGGGCACATGCCTGGGTTGCAAGCCCAATCCCTAAAGTAGGGTGTGCAGGAGACAGCCGATCAAGGATTCTCTCTCATCACTGATATTTCTCTCTCTCTTTTCCTCTCCTTTCCTCTCTGAAATAAATCTAAATAAACATATTCTTAAAAAATAGGTCCCTTTGTATTGAAAGGTAGGACCCTGGAAGCCACAAAATTCTATAACACATATTTTTAGAATACTGTTTTGATACCGATCTAGCCAGAAACAGAATGGGAGAGGGGGAGAAAGTTAAAGAGAGAGGAAGAAAAGTATACATCCTAAATATGCTACTTTAAAGGACAAACTCAGATTGGATAAGGTTTATTAGTTTTGTATAATCTAATAGTTTGTTATTGTAGATTTTTTCTGATTAGCTCTGACTGACACAAATATTAAATGTGAATGCTGCTGGGAACTTCCAGGAGCTGTTCTGGCTACACAGTTGGTACAGGTAGTCAGAGAGCATTGTGGGGAGGAATGGGGAGGTGGCCTCATTTTTCATATTTTACCTACACTTTGTGCAAAGAGAATAATCCACATATGCCACATATGGAGATCAGAAAAAGTCATTCGTCAGGGGATCCAGGCAAACATGAGCACAGAAAAAGAGATCACAAATAGATAAGAAGAGACCTGATCTGCAGAGAGATTTATGTTACCTAAGTTAGAATTGTTAGATTTTTCATTTAGAGAAATAAATCATTTTTTTGATAAAATTCTTCCAAGTTTGTATCTGCAATAGAAAAATGATCATAGCGTATTTCAAGTTTGATCAATAATCCTACATACAGGGCTATGGTAGGTTCCAGACTAATTCTCCCCACAAATGTCCTGGTCGGGGCACATGCCTGGGTTGATTCCAGATCGGGGCACATGCCTGGGTTGCAAGCCCAATCCCTAAAGTAGGGTGTACAGGAGACAGCCGATCTGTTGGTGCCTTTATTTTCCAGTAGATAACTCTGAACTCAGATGAACAACAACCCTTGAGGAAGTCTTACTTCATGGAGCACAGGGAATTCAGAGATCAGCCCTTCATCACGTGGGGCATATCATCATTTCACTGGACTGCTCTCATGTAAACACAAATGAAATGAAGACTAATCAAGTGTCGGTGTAATCCAGCATTCGTCAAAGATGTTGGTCCTTCTCTTGGGATGAGTGTTAAATGTATTTGAGTGCCAGTTCTAGAAATGAATGTATTTCACTGTAATTGAGAACAAATCCCCTACAAGAGCCCCCTGACATCCCCCTAGTGGCCCCGTTAATGTGCTCTCATCCTTAACAGATGGGCCGGGGGCACAGTGGCTCTGAGGGTAGATAACTGCCTAAGGCCCACACAGTCACCTGCGTATCTGCAGGGATGGATAATAAGGATTTCTAAACCTGGTGGTTCTGTGATCTCAGCACCTGTCCCTGAGGGATGGCCTGAGATTGCTGACTCATTACATACACCTGTCACATGAGCAGATCGTTCACTGCTGATCACTCCATTAAGCAGTTCTGGGCTGCAGCTGAGCATGTTTGCATCAACAAGTGCCACGTCAGAGAACAGAATTCTAACTCAGGAGCCTTGTGGGTAGGAAGTTTTTATTCACTGACAAGGACAATGTAACAATTTAATGGAGGTTGTGCAGAGGTAATTCCTTTATAATTTAGACGTCTCTGCTAGAATTACAATCTATTTATTTATTTACTAATTTACAACAATAACTTATCTCAAGCCCATAGAGAGCAAGAAAATCTGTGTAATTATGTGGGTATATTTACTGGCTATTAAACGCAAAGTATAAAGTCCTTCTTTGGCACCAAAATTCTTGTTTACCACTTTTCAGGGTTGCTGATGGGTTTTACACCTGCACATTTTGAACAACAAAGTTGTGGGGGAGTTGTCTCTGGTGAGAAGGTAGAGACATAGACATAATGAATGGTAGCAGATTACCCTTCAAAAACCACCCACCTATTAATGTAAAGACTCATTTGGCAATGCACTGGTGTTTTGTCATTTGCATATGTGCCTGTTTTCCTTTTTAAGTGCAGTGCCAGAATTGCTTCTAATGGGAAGGATTTTTAAAGGAGTGGCAACAAATCAGTGTGTTCGTTCTACAAACATTTACTATGTCAGGCACTGCAGTGTATGCTAAACTAAGAACAAATGGATAATTCCAGTATTAGTGAGAAGAGGCAAGATGATTCAATAAACCCGATGAGAACTTGATTGGCTTATTACAAAGATACTGAAGACAATATTCTCTAGTAGACAATCAAAGGCTTACCTCTGGGTATTGAAAAACATGAGGTGAATATGAGCTATTGATATCCAAACCAGATGCCTCCTTATTCAGATATTAGAGATAATAAACCATGTTGTAAATGATCAGAGAATGATTACTGAACACTCTACAACTCTTAGGCATCAGTTACTTAATATGTACAATGGTACACTATGGTATTAGCAATACATCATTTCCTCCTCAATTGCCCAAAGAATGAAATATGCGCACATAAAGTGCTGTCAAATAGCTAATGTCTATATCTGGGTTAAATAAGTGTGTCATTCACAAGCAGTGGGCCTTCTCATTCTCTTCCATGGTCATGTAAGTCCGTCTGCTTAAATGGGATTTATTAGCCCAGTGAAGAGTTGTGGTTGACTCCCAGGTGCCAACTGTAAGACTTGTAAGATTTAATATATCCATACAGCACAAAAACCATTTTGACTTATAAATATATGTATAACCTAGTCAATCCTGTATGCATAAAGCTTTTCACATCATGTTCCTCTGAGCCTCTGTGTGGTACCTTGAGAAACCCTATGTGGGGGAGGGGAAAGGCTGCTGACCCAAGAGATGGCTCCATCTCAGGCCACAGTGGGAGGGAAGATTGCATCACTGGTGGCCACGTGCCTCACTGAGATCCACACCCAGTTCTTTTGTCTGAACTGACCTTGAGGGTGGCTTTCTGGTCCTCAAACTTAGGGGTTCCCCTGATAATGCCATATGTCATTTAAAGCCCCACTCTACATTTTTATAGTATTAAAGTATGCAGACAACACATGTATTGTGAAAATGTTAATGATCATTCTGCTTCTGAACTTACTTAGAATTCAGTATAAAGAAGAGTGGACTCATTTGGTTTTACATGTAAAAATCAAACAGCTATTTGTAGATTCCTCAGCCTAACAGGGAAGAAACATTCCCCCTGACATTACTTAAGGTATTTACATATGTTTTCACGTGACTTTGGGCTATTGCTATATTATAGGAAGCTGTTAGCATTTTACTCACATGCAGAAACCAAACACCTGAAAACAAAATTAATTTTAATTTGAAAATATGAAAATAAAAAAAAAATGTACATCGACAAAAATAAAAATTCAAATGAGAATGTGGTTAAAAAAAAAAAAAAGAGAGAGAGACTTACCCATTGACTACCAAACTGGATCATGTCATGGGAAAAACAAGACGATGGAGAACATAGGGAAAAGTAAAGAAATGATGAAAAAGTAATTACAATGGGGAAAAATGAAATGAAATATCAACTTAAACAGATAATCTAAGAAAAAAAACAACAACCATTTTCACTCAATCTTGACTCTCAACAAAAACAAATCATGGGATAAAATAATTTATTTTGAAATGTAGACAAACAAATATACACAAAATTAAAACAATGGGATACGTATTAAAGAGAATAAAGCCTAATTTTCAAGTGTATTTCAACTTGGTCTTTAAAAAAATAGAAATTTTTGTGTAAATAAAATACTTCATATGCTATTTTTTGTGGCTTGCTTTTTGGATGCAAACTTTGTGTATGCTAGATTTGTATAAACAAAGCAGGTAGCTTTCGCATTTGCTTGTGAAAAGTAAGCTTTATGTAAATACACAACACCTAAGTTGTTAAAAGGCATATCTGAAATTCAACGGCTATTTGTAAATTGTAGGCAGTCTTCACATAAAAAAGAAGGAACTGACAGAAGCAAAGGACAAAGGGCATTCCATATCAGAGTGAGGAAGAGACCAAAATTTTATATTGGAGAACTTGTTTTTTTTTAATCTAATCAAGTGGATGGATTTTGGAAACAGCATTGTCCGTTGCCAGGGCACCTGTGCCACCCTTCCACATGTGACACTCAACCCACTCACCTCTTGTCCTCCATCCAGGGCACAGAGTTTGGTGCTTTGCTTTTTGGCATCAACTAACACATTGAACATGGTGCACACAGAAGCGGGAATGCGCAAGTCAGTGGTTTTGTTTGCCTTTTGCATCTTGAGTTCAAATGCAGCTCTTGTTCTATTCATTAAGACATGAATTCAGAGTAAGAAATTCTGACATCTGCCCCACTGTTTTGTAAGAGTGAAATCAACACTACACGATGCTAATTTAAAACATGCAAACAAGGAGTGTGGCAGGGCTTGGGAGCTGGGATGGGATGGCCTTCTTTTCAGGTGTCTCATTTTATATTAAACGTAGCTTTTTCAGTCACTCAGATAACCTCTCTACGCCCATGAAGCAATTTGCCACATCTAATGTATCACTTTTAATGGAACAACCTCACAGCTTCACTTAACTATCTGAATTAATATCCAAGTAGAAAAATTATTTGTTTCTCTGCATTAAAGTAGAACAAATCCTCCATGTGAAGATTTATTGCCAAGTCAAAAAACAAGTCTGGAAAATGCTAAACATCATAATTAATAACTCACCACAGAATGTGTAATTCTGTTAAATCCCCTAGTTTCTCTTTCAAATACCCAAAGTTGCAGTTAGGTTTTTGAAAGACACTGAATAACAGGTCATTTGGAATTGGCCTTGATTAAGTATCAAAAGAACATCTACTGATCTGAAACATTAGAATCACAGATGATGAACATGATTTTCTTAAAAATCATTAAATTATCTACTCCATGCCCAGCCTTGGAAGGCCATCATTATTCTAATAAGACTGAATTTGTCTTGCTTTAAAGAATTCAGGATTATTCATTCAATTGCTCCAACCAGCATTTGTTATTCCACTACTGCTCTTGTTCATATTATGAACACAGACAATGAAAAAATAGTGCTTGGCTAATTAGGATGCAACGCTGATTTTGTTAAGAGCAATTAAATATGAAAGCACATCTGGAAGAATCCAAAGCCACATAATTTATTTCTGGTTAAATATTAAAGAATGAGAATGGATACTTGGAACTCACCTGATGGGGATAGGGAATACCAGAAAACGCAAGTGATGGCACTGATCATAATTAGAATTTGCCATCCCACTTCATGGTGCACGCAGTACATAACACATAAAGTACTTAACAGACCTTTTCCATATGTCTCGGGCTATAGCGCCTTGGGAATTTAGATTGCCTTGGGAATTTAAAGCACAGTATTCCAAGACAGAGAACAATAAACACAACAGAAATGATGAATGTGGTGAGATCGGTAAGGGCCATAGTTGGGAGTCCTAAAAAAAACACCTATCAGGCCAAGTTTATGAATCACATGGGTTCCCAGAATTTGGGTCAGAGAACCTAATGTCCACTAAATTTTGGAAGAGTAGTACATATTGAAATCTCTTTTGTGACAATGATATAACAAATATTTGGTGAAAAGTGGTATTTTTTGGTGCTGGCATATTAAGCAGCAACTAGAAAATGCATGTCTACCTTTTCACACAGGCCTCTATCATATCACTGGCCATGAGTTTAAGTCTTTGCTCTAAGTGGTGGGCAAATTCTTGTTCCGGCCAGTGTAGGTCAAGGACAAACATTTGAAGTGCATCCAGTTTCCAAAAAAGGTCTTCAGATGTTGCTGAGCCATTGCTAGAAGAAAAAGGAAAAATGGACATCATGAACCTCCACTGTTAGCTCCGTGGGTCACTAATATATTGTTTTCCTCCTTTGTATCAATTTCCCTCAGTGAAAAAATGAAGCATAAAATTTTTCTTTGTTCAGTCTTTTAATTTTTCCTTTTCACTTCTCAATGAATAAGGCAAGGCAAAGAGAACTAATTATACATAATAAACATATTAAGGTTTCATAAGAAGGGAAAAATGGATAAGGATATTTCATTAAGGAAATTAAATTGTGTACATAAGAACAAACATCTTAAATATTCTTTACTAATCTGTAGGAAAAAAGATCAAATATATAAATATGTCCTTCTAGAAATTCCAAAAAATTGGCAAGAAAATCCATATGATAACAACTACTAGCTTTATTCTTCTACTCATTGGTGTGTGTTTCTGTCATCAAGATGGATGGCTCTGCTGAAATCATTTGGCTCAATGGAAAAAGCATCGGCTTGGGGACTGAGGGGTCCCGGGTTCGATTCTGGTCAAGGGCATGTACCTTGGTTGCGGGCACATCCCCAGAGGGGTGTGTGCAGGAGGCAGCTGATCGATGACTCTCTCTCATCGATGTACAAAATCAATGAATTATATTTTAAAAATATTATATTTTATTGATTTTGTACAGATAGGAAGAGAGAGAGATAGAGAGTTAGAAACATAGATGAGAGAGAGTCATCGATCAGCTGCCTCCTGCACAACCCCCCTGGGGATGTGCCCGCAACCAAGGTACATGCCCTTGACCAGAATCGAATCCGGGGCCCCTCAGTCCCCAAGCCGATGCTCAATCCATTGAGCCAAACCGGTCTCAGCAATAAAATATATTTAAAAAAAAAAAAAAAAAGATGGATGGCTCTGTCTGTCTACAGGTAGGTAGCCCCTAAACTTTTCAATTACAGGTAAAGGTGAAACAGGTATTGGAAATGAAATAACAGGTCAGGTAGGAAAACAAATCTTATATTTTGAAATGCTTTGTGCCTTTTCTAGCTCATAATTAAACATAACAGTATCAGCAGAAGCCGGTTTGGCTCAGTGGTAGAGCGTCGGTCTGCGGACTGAAAGGTCCCAGGTTCGATTCCAGTCAAGGGCATGGACATTGGTTGTGGGCACATCCCCGGTAGGGAGTGTGCAAGAGGCAGCTGGCCGATGTTTCTCTCTCATCGATGTTTCCAGCTCTCTATCTATCTCCCTTCCTCTCTGTAAAAAATCAATAAAAATATATTAAACATAACAGTATCAGATACGGTTTACCACAGAAAGGACATTCAGTGTGGGCTAAAGTTGGAGCAAAATCATGTATTTCAGGTCATTACCTCTAACTTGGAGCCAATATCTACTATGCATTCATTACTATAGTGCAATTTTATTTTCAGTCCATGTATGAAGATAATTTGTACCAGAGTATATATACTGTTGGGGTGAAGGATAATACTATTACTTTTATGCACATAGGTAGCCTAGAAGGGAAACAGATGTTTTGAAAGTAAAATATTCCTATTGAAACTTGGTGGTAAAAGAGAACAAAAGAACAAAAAAGCTGCTAATGATTCCTTTCTCTTCAGCGTTCCAATAATTATTTAACATATACTAATCTAAAATATATATTTTTTAGTTTGTAAAAGAAAATAAGAAAAGTAAAATAAACTCACCACAAGGGAATAATAGAAAACTTTTATAAAAGACTAGAGGCCTGGTGCACAAAATTTGTGCACAGAGGGAAGAGGGGGATCCCTCAGCCTGGTCTGCACCCTCTTACAATACGGGACCACTGGCCCCTAATTGCTTGCCTGCCTGCCTGCCTGCCTGATTGGTCCTAACTGCCTCTGCCTGCCTGATCGCCCTAAGTACTCTGCCTGCCTGATTGCCCCTCTGCGTGTCTGATCCTCCCTAGCTTCCTCTGTCTGCTGATTGCCCCTAAGCACTCTGCCTGCCTCCTTGATTGCCCCTAACCACTCACTGGGAGGGTGGCTGGCTGGGGTGAGGGAATGTGGTCAATCTGGTTGTTCCACTATTTTGGTTGCTGGACTTTTATTATATAGGATAACATTATTTTAGATAACTATATCTTAATTAGCTAGCTTTAAAAAAATGACCTCTACTCTGCTCCCCTACTTTGTCTCTCCCCACCCCCACCCCAAGCATTGGCATCTCCCCTCCATCACCAATTCCTCATGATCTCCTTGGCTAGCCAGGCTTTCTTCAGAGTTAAATTCTGCAGGGACCAATTACAGCAAAGCACTGAGATGACCCATCATACTTTATTCACTATCTCCTAACTTTAGGTGCCCCAAAAGTATCATTAAACAAACAAAAGAACCAGAATAAGATCATGCTGTTATTGCTGTGAAAAATATTTGAAAAAATACTATATTTACTTATCCTTTTTGCCATAGATATGAGAAAAAAAATGACCAAAACCCCCCTTATATTCATAATGTAATATTTGATAGATTAGAGGACCTATGTTTTAAGTGTAATTCAATATAATTGGCTAAGAAGCAAATCAACGTATAATTTTTTACTTAGAAAGATTAGTAGTTACGTGAAACACAAATGCATTCTTTAACAGCATAACAAAACAGCAATAGCAAAAATCATAATCAAAACAAAATCCCAAAGAGAAAAGGTAGAATTCCATTAAAATAGACTTCCTCATTATATGTAACAATTAAATCTTCATAGAGAATATGGATATATATTTCTTCTGTTCTTTAAGGCTTAGATGTGCTTAATTGGGAATGTAATTAAGAAAACTGTTTTCTATAATTAAATAGATGAAAAATATATAAATAGGTTTGCTCTCAAGATAGTGTAGATAACCTGCCATTTTATCAGAACTTTTTCATTCTAAAATTATTTCTAACGAGTGGCTTATTCTTAAAAGTATTATTAACAGACTAAATAATTCACATATGAATAATAGATACAGACAGGAAACTTACCTTACTCAGTTTCAGAGCTAAAACACCCCGAATGAGGATTTTCATTCAGGGGGAGATGTGGGGAAGCACTTCGTAAGGTGATTTACACATGAGTAGACAGGGATCTCTCTCTCAAACTGATGGTTCTTTGATATTACTCATCTCCCTTAATCAGTAAATTATAGTCTTACTTCCTTATACATGTGAAATTGATTTTTTTTTTGCTATTTACTGTTTTCTAGCAAAAATTCAAAAAACCAATTGCAATGACATGTTCATCATAGCATTATTTATAATATCCAAGATTGGCAGCAGCCAAGTGCCCATCAACAGATGAATGGATAAAGAAGCCATGCTACATTTACACGATGGCCTTAAAAAAGAAGGAAATCTTACCCTTTGTGGCAGCCTGGATGGACTTGGGTAGCATTATGCTAAGTGAAACAAGCCAGTCAGAGAAAGACAAGTTCCAGATGATTTTACTCATATGTTAAATCTAACGAACAAAATTAACTAACAAGCAAAATAGAGACAGACTCATAGATGGAGAGCAGACTGACAGCTGTTGGTGGTGGGGGTTGAGAGGCTGTATGTGTGGGGGTGGAGGGATTGAGAAAAAAAAGAAAAAACTCAGACAACAGTGTGGTAATTTCCAAGGGACACAGGGATAGGGGAGGTGGTGGAGGGTATGGGGTGATAAATGGTAATGGCTGGAGACTTGTCTTGGCGGGGTGGTAAACATACAGATGATGTGTTGTGGAATTGTGCACCTGAAACCTGTGTTAACAAGTGTCACCCCAATAAATTCAATACAAAGGGAAAAAACCTGCCACTTAAAAACAAAAGAAAAGAAAACAAAGACATGTGTGGAAAAACTGGTAAAATACAAATAACTTCTGTAATTCATTAATAGTAATTTAGTTGTAAGATTCATTTCTTCATTTTGATAGCTGTTCTATGATTATATAAGACATATAAGAGAAGCTGGGTAAAGAGTATTTGGGAACTCAATGGAATTCAACTCTGCTGTCAGTCTAAAAACAATGAAGTTTATAAGAATATGATGAGCACATCCTGGAATTCCTAGCACAGGGGAATGGAACACCAGATAAAATCAATGTACACTCACTGGATATTGGGAAAAGTTCCCATAAGTTCAGAAGACAGACAGACAGGATCTCACATCTGGAGATCCTGAAGGAAAAGTGATTCAAGAGAAATCACTTTTATTAGAAAGTGGACTCTAATAAAAACAACCATGTGAGATAAATAAATAAATTACTTTCTAGGCAAAGTTAGAAAAACTTAATTGCAATGACATCACAGCACTGTGAGTAATTCTGAGACTTTGACAAAGAGCCTAACGTTGATCATCCTGGCAGGTAAAGATAATGGTCATTAACTTAAAACATTTTTTATTTGCCCAGAACAATGAAAGCACAAGCACTTAATTTACAAAGCCACAGTTTGTCATGATTCCTCTCTTCAATTGCAGGTCACTTTAAAAAGGAGCTCCCAAGAATGAGATGCAGGGTTTCCACATATCTCAAAGTTAATAAAATAGTGATGACAAAAACAACAACAGCAATAATACTCTTAAATTTCATAAGGTAAAGGCCACAATAGCATTCTTGGTTAAAATTAAGATTTTTATACAGATTATAAATAAGAATGCAAAAAAGTTAAGTTATTAAACAGTATAGAGAAGTACAAAATTTCACAAACTTTATACTTCCATCATACTTCCTGGGTAACTCCTGAGCACACATCAATGCCCTATAATGGCCCAAAGCATTTGCCTATAAGAGTAAGATTCACATGTAACCTAATATCCTAATAAATAATATGAGTACAGTGATGATATTTAACTTGCAAAATATTGTCAAACCAGTTTGCAAGGTTGTTCTCTTTCTTGGTCTTTTCTTGATTGGATGCAGACTAGACAGGGATTACATTTGACAGGTGATGGTACTGTAGGTAGAAAGGATGCTAACCAAGCTCTTAACCAGTATATTCTCTGGAAGCAGAAGAATGATAAGTGAGGGCTCTGACGTCAGGCAAACCTGGTTCATTTTACCTACATCACTTCCTTATTGTGATATATTGGGCACATTTTACTTCTTAACCTCTTTACGACTTAATTCCTTAATTGTAAGGTGGGGACATTCACTTCACAGGATTGTTATAAGGCTTAGATGCAATAAGTAAGTTGGCACTGTACCCGGAACATAAATTCTCAGTAAATTGTAATATTTTTCTAATTATTTACTTGCTAGCTGACTTCAGATGACATCTTGGGTTAAGTATGGGCTATTATTAGATTCATTTGATTGCTGTGAAGGCCATACTTTTGATAACTATACTGTTAAGGATAATAATGATGATGATTGATGATCGTAGTAATAATTATCGTAATAACAATCATAATGTAGAATAGCAGTGGTTACCATTTGTTGAGAAATTAGGATGTGCCAAGTGCTTTAAAAAAAATCCTCACAAGAATGTCTTGAAATCAGGTGTCATATCCATTTTTGAGTTTAGGGAACTGAAGCTAATCATGACTTAAGAATTAATCAACTAGGGTCTAAATCCAGGGCTCTTCGATTTGAAAGTCTGTGTCCTTTTCACTTTTATGACTCTCAGTTACTGAATCTACAGTAGGGAGGCTGGTCACAACATGGAGTTAATAAATATGGTTTTTAATGATATAAAGATCATTTAACAATAACAAGGCGCATCAACTGATTTATGAAAGGACAAAAGAAGACCTTGCTAGTGTTGGGAAATAAAGGACAACCCCCTCTCTGCAATTAGCAAAACTGTTCCTTTAAAGGTGAGACTAAGATAAAAACAGAAAAATGATTATATTCTCAAAACTGTTCTTACAATGGTTTTCTACACACACAAGAGAAGTCATATGGGCAGTAACAACACTGGAGCCAAGAAGGATGCAGACATACTGTTTGCCACAATGATGGCCTCAAATTGGAGAACTCAAATTATATCACTTAGGACAGAATCTACAACCTGAGTCACAAAATGACCTTGCCCACAGATTACATATAAACTACATGAAACTAGTATTTTTTTTAAAAAAAAATCTATATAATTTATCACCCATGTGCTAAGCTTAGATTAATAGCTTTAAAAAAAAAAAGAAACCAAAACCAAAACATAGTATTCCTCAACCAAGGATGATAAATGCCATGCAATCTAAACACAACTGCACAGAACACAGCCCAGGCCATGCACTAGCTAACACAGCACCAGGAAATAAGTGAGGAATACACACGTGGATTCATATAAAGGAGCCATCCACGAAGGAGTAGAAAAGCTAGGAATCTCTGGAAGATTAAGAGGCAGACTTGGAACTTTTGGAAGAGCTACATTGGGAAGACTGTTGGCGATATTCCTGTAAAGAAACAAACAATGGGGGAAGGGACCACCATAAGCAATAACTACAAATGGCCATGTGGAAAGTCATAAGGTCAGAACAGAAGAGGCAGGTGCTGTATGGGCACTAGGCAAGATACCTACTTGACAGGCTGCCATGTCTCTTGCTCAAACCCTCTGTGAATTGACTGGGCGATGGAGGACTCCATGAGATCGACGTAGCGAATAACCAAGGGCACAAAGATTTCTTGCAAGTGTTTGTGAAATTTTCCATTACATAAAAGTGCTGAAATAATCAAGCAGAAACAGTGTTTATCAGAGAGAGAACATCAGGCTTTTGGAAAATAGGGGTTGGGGGGGACTTTTCCTGAAAGAGTCGGACACTGAAGAATAAAATATAGATGATAATGGGTCTTGCTCCTCCTATTGGATATCATCTCTTGAAAACTGATCAAGAAGTATAATTGACCTTCTATATATGGATCTCAAAAGCACAAATGGATTATATTTCTATGAAATGCTCCTGGAAGTGGCATGTTTTTACTTTCAAAGAGGTTTAACACATGAGGCATATGACCACTTGCTGGTGAATCTCTGTGCAAGGAAGCTGCTGGGCCCCCTAAAGGTCTGGACACATGTAAATATAGCAATCATACAGTTACCATCCTGGTACTATGTTGTGTATTACTGAAACCTCTTCAACCCTAAGAGCTAAGCCTGACTGCTTCTAAGAGAAATGCTTGTTAAATTCACTAAGAGAGTGACTGTGGCCTTGGAAATGTCTCTTCTGATTCATGAACTTATTAGTTATTTGTGGATTTTCTCTTTAGTCATCTTATTTTCCCTTTTGGGCTTAAAAACAGTCAGCACATCACAGCACATGCACTTTTCATTTGCCCATTTGTCTTTCATGAACTGGGCCTAAAACATTCTTCCTAAAGCAGCTGTAGAAGCCTTAAGAGTTTATGCAAGGTGTACCCACCTCCATCAGAAGATGGATGCTTTCTATGCAACATACTTTCATTAGGACATATGTCAGTGCTACAGACGGAATGTTTCTGTCACCCCCACCCAATGTGATAGTATTAGGAGATGGGAGTCTTTGGAGGGTGATTAGGTCATGAGGACAGAACCCAAAAAATGGGGTTAGTGTCTTCATAAAGGAGATGCTGGGAAGACCCCTTAACCCTTTCATGATGTGAGCACACAGCATGAAGATGGTTGTCTATGAAGCAGGCTCTTATCAGACACCAAATTTACCTGTACCGTGATCTTGGACTTCCTAGCTTCCAGAACTCTGAGAAACCAATTTTTCTTGTTATAAGCCACCCAGACTATGGTAGCCTGTTAAAACAGCCCAAACAGACTAAGACAGTCAGTATGTGCCTACAGTGCACCATGAGAAAATAGAGAATCTGTAGAAAAATACTAACCAATACTAAGTAATATTTAATAAAGAATTTATAATGTTTCCAATGATGGTACACGTTTTTTTTCATGTGAACATATCCTAAATCCTGTTGTGATTTTAAAAAATAGTCCTCAGAGGGAGTACATGTTTATTTAAAAAATGTTCTCTGTGTTTAGGAAAGGTATTTTTTAAGTGGTGGTATTTTAATTGCAACTAAATGACAAAGGAATCATCCATGGAAAATTTGAAGGGAAGGTTTCCAAGGAAAGAGTGTAGCTAGCACAAGAGTTTTAGGGAGGGCTAGCTGGTGCTCTGCAAAGAAGAAGTGTGATAGGAGAAGAGTCCAAGGTGATGTCTATATTGGTGAGAAGTTAGAGTTATGGGGCATGGTGAGAAGTATTGGGTGCAATGGGAAGCATTATTGTTTTTATTAGTACTAAGTAGAGAAGCGACATGATATAATCTCTCTGGCTCCTGAGTGAAAAATGGAGTAAGTAGGTGGCCAAGAGCGGAAGTGGAGGTGGTGGTTAGTGCTCAGTTTTTTACCGCACTAGATTAGGCAAAAGATGATGAGGGTGATGGTGGTGTTGATTGTGGTGCCTTGGATTAGAGTGAGGAGGTAGAAGATGAGGAAAAGTCCCTCAGCAATTTCATTCACAGGTTTGAATAGCTGTGTATGCTTATAGTTACTGAATCTAATTACTAGCAACTCTAATAGTGTTGTCTTATTTTGACAATATCTCATATAATCTTTTTCAGGGCAATAATACCCTGAAAACTAGTTTGTTTGTTTTTCTAATTTGAGCAAAAATGTGACACTATGGTGGAATGAATATGAAAATTCCTATTATATATTATTTTAATTAAGTGATTCTGAAATTCATCAGTCTGGAAAACTATAGAAACACAAAAGCTGAGTAGGAAGTAATTATAAATACTGAAGAATTTTCTCCTCTCTCTAGCTGATATGTGTATTTTTTAAAATAAGTCTTTATTAGTTTTAGAAAAAGAGGAAGGGAGAGAGAGATAGAAACGGTGATGAGAAACATTGATCAGCTGCCTCCTGCATGCTCCCCATTGGATATCGAGCCTACAACCCAGGCATGTGCCCTGACTAGGAATCGTACCAGTGACCTCTTGGTCCACGGGCCAACTTTCAACCATTGAGCAATACCATTGGTTGGTGATATGGTTTAGTATTTTTTGTGGCTAGTCTTGTCTATATGCTAAAATATTTCCCATTAAAGTGGGAATAATAATTATATTTGAAGATAAATGTCTTATCTTTATGATACTTTCATTAGCACTAAAAGAGGCTTTACTTATTCCTAGAGATCCAATCATGGAGCTACGAGTCACGTTAGTTCCTTTTACCAAAAGTCATGAGAATAGGATGCTGAATACTAAGGATGAAAAGATTCTCACTCAGACCATCTAAACAACTATGGTGAGCAAATTAAAAAATACACCCAAATCTGAATTTATTAAATCTCTACCTACCAACTCTCCTCTTCTTCCTCTTAGTCATCACTAGCATTTTTAGTGTCAAACATGGTGCTAAGTGTTTGATATGCATTCTCATTTAATAACCAAAAAAAGTATGAGATAAACACTATAATTTTTTTCAATCTTATTAATAAGTAAACTGAGGTGCAAGGAGTTATTTGAAATTGAATAAGAATTATACCAGAGCCCCCTCTTAACTTCCACAGAACTATAATACCATCATCTCAATTTGTTACCATAAATCATTATCTGTCTATCCATCCATTCACAAATCTGTCCAACCTACCATCAGCATTTTTTAAGACCTAGAATGTAGAACAGTAGGTGGTTTTAGGTTAAAAAATCTTGCACATGACCAGACCAATAAATTACACCATATCTTAGATGAATTATATATTTTCAGAGTTAGAATTTTGAAAAACTGTTACAATATGAAAAGAATAGGAGGTTGAGCAAAATTGTTACATTTAATGAATTGAAAAATAAATTAATGCTGTGAAAATAATATTCAGTGTGCTTATAATACACAATAAAATCAGTACAATTTTACATTGCTATATAGCTAGACTGAATGCCTAAGCCTTAACTTATATGGCCTATTAATAAAAAATATAGAACTTTGGCTGTACATCTTGATAAGCACTGTCATTATTTTTTTACTACTCCAAGACCAAAACACATGCTTATGTAATAAATAATTACATCTATAAATAACTTCAAATGTTACATTATTATACATTTAGACATTAGCTATTAAGTCATATTTAGGTTGTTAAAATGAAAAAGCACATAAGGAAAATCATACTTAGTTATTACATGTTATAAAGAGTCTAAGATTAAGTAGCAGTTGACTCAGATGTATTTCTAGCAATGTTTCTTTTATTAAAACTTGATAAACACTGAGTTTATTATGTTGTTAAGCCTGCTTCTCTTCTTGTATTCCCATCAACAGAGTAGATATGATCCACCTGACCACTACACCAGCAACTAAGCTGTTTCACAGGCCTTTATTTCCCCCCCTACACCTAATAACCAAGATCTGTGTATTTTATATCCGGATTGTCTTTTTAACCCTTCCCCTGCCTCTCTTTATCACTACTGCTATTGTACTAGTCCTGGCATTCTCATCCTTTGCCCTGATTATTGCAATAGTCTCTCCTAACTATCTTAGGCTCCTCATTTTCCCTCTGTCAATTCATCTTCTTAAAATATAAAACTAATAATGTCCCTCCTAAAGATATAAGGCATTAATGGAGCATCATGACCAACTCCAAAAGCCTTAGCATGTTTTGAAAGCCATCCTTGAGCTATCTTAAAATGACCTGACTCAGTTCTATTGCCTGACCCATCTCCTGAAGTCCAACCATAATTATTTTCATAGTTCAGTTAAAGTACACAATCTCTCTTCCAAACCTTTCTTGAAATGCTGTCCCTTTGCCCAATTACTCCTTTTCCTCTTTACTCTCTTTTTAGACTTCCACCATGCTCCTTGTTATACATTTGCATTGCTTACATATATCTTTCTCCCTACACAGGTGCAAGGTCCTTGAGGCAGGGACCAGGACTGCATTCTTAGTAGCCAGCAAAGTCCTTCACTCAGAGCAAGTTTTCAAATGCTTGTTGAATGGATGACTATTTAGATACAATATTAAGATTACCACATCATCTACTAAGGCTTGTGTATCTCTTCATATTTTGTATAACATATATGTCATTAAATAATAATGTTATGAGAAATCCTATATTTGACTTATATGTCTAAGATCATACTGCTAAAAACTCTACTGGATATGAATGTTGGCCACTTTGTCTCTTAAAATCTATCTATCTATCTATCTATCTATCTATCTATCTATCTTTCTTTCATCTTGATTTCAGAGAGGAAAGGAGAGGGAGAGAGAGATAGAAACATCAATGATGAAAATCATTGATCAGCTGCCTCCTGCACAATCTACACAAGAGATTGAGACTGCAATGCAGGCATGTGCCCTGACCGGGAATCAAACCGTGACCTCCTGGTTCATAGGTCAATGCTCATCCACTGAGCCATGCCGGCTGGCCTATGACTCTTATTTTAATAAAGGAAGAATTTTCTCTGTTCAGTCATGATAGTTGATAGCAAATTATTACATCCTACAAAATTAGGAAAAAGTGAAGATTTCCTGTATTTCCTAAGACCTGTCACAAATGCTGACTCTGGCCAAAAGTCTGCTCATGTTTCAGCATAATGTTCCTTTTTATATTTAAAAAGCCAACTTATAAAGCCATATTCCAAAGTTTTAGAAAACTGACAATTGGAAGTATTATTTATTTGGTAACTAGATTCAGGAAACGGGAGAAAGAAGGGAGGCAGAGATGGAGACAGTGAG